ATGGTCTCAGTGCAGAATTCTACCAGGATTTCAAAGAAGAGCCAATACCAATACTCCTCAATAGTTTCACATAATATAAACAGAAGGAACATTGCCAAACTCTTTTTATGAGGCTACAGTTACCCTGATACTCAACGCAATTCTTCACAGACCTTGAAAAAGCAATACTCAACTTTATATGAAAAAAAACAAAACAAAGCAGGATAACTAAAACAACCATGTAAAATACAGGAACTTCTGGAGGTTCATCAACCCGACTTCAGCTCTACTATAGAACTATAGTAATAAAAACAGTTTGGTATTGGCATAAAAGCAGACACGTGCATCAATGGAATTGAATGGAAGACCCTGACATACATCCATACACCTGATTTTTGACAGAGAAGCCAAAATTGTGCAATGGAAAAAAGAAAGCAACTTCAACAAATGGTGCTGGCATAACTGGATGGTGGCATGTAGAAGAATGCAAATAAATCCATATCTGTCACCATGCATAAAACTCAAGTCCAGGAGGATCAAAGACCTCAACATAAATCCAGTTACACTGAACCTGATAGAAAAGAAAGTGGGAAGTAGTCTTGAACTCATTGACACAGGAGACCACTTCCTGAATATAATACCAGTAGCACAGACACTGAGATTGATAATTAATAAATGGGGCCGTCTGAAACCGAAAAGCTTCTGTCAGGCAAAGGACAATGTCAATAAGACAAAACGGCAGCCTACAGAATGGGAAAAGATCTTCACCAACCTCACATCTGACAAAAGGCTGATCTACAAAATATATAAAGAACTCAAGAAACTAGACATCAAAATACCAAATAATCCAATTAAAAATGGGGTACAGATCTAATCAGAGAATTCTCAACAGAAGAATCTCAAATGGCTGAAACACATTTAAGGAACTGCTTAACATCCTTAGTCATCAGAGAAATACAAATCAAAATGACTCTGAGATACCATCTTACACCTGTCAGAATGGCTAAGATCAAAAACTAATAACAGCCTATGTTGGAGAGGATGTGGAGTAAGGGGAACATTCCTCCACTGCTGGTAGGAATGCAAATGTGTACAGCCACTTTGGAAATTAGTATGGCAGTTTCTCAGTAAATTGGGAATCAATATACCTCAAGACCCTGTGATACTACTCTTGGGCATATACCCAAAGGATGCTCAATTATACCACAAGGACACTTGCTCAATTATGTTCATAGCAGCATTATTCATAATAACCACAATCTGAAAACAATCTAGAGCCCCTTCAACTGAAGAATGGATAAAGAAAATGTGGTACATTTGCACAATAGAGTATTACTCAGCAGTAAAAAACAATGACAGCATGAAATTTGCAGGCAAATGGATGGAAATAGGAAAAAAAAAATCCCGAGTGAGGTAACTCAGACCCAGAAAGACAAACACGGTATATACTCATTCATAAGTGGATATTAGATGTAAAGCAAAGGTAAACCAGGCTACAATGCACAGCCCCCAGAGAAGCTAGGTAACAAGGAGGACCCTAAGAGGGACACATGGATCGCCTTGGGAAGGGAAAATAGATGAGATCTCCTGGGTAAATTGGGGGTGGGGGAGGGGAGTAGAAGGGAGTAGATGGGGGATGGGAACATGAGGGATCAGGATGGTCAAGTTAAGGGAGGGATGGAGAGGGAGAGCAATGAAAGAGATATCACGATAGAGGGGGCCAGCATGGGGTAAGTGAGAAACCTGGTGCCAGGGAAACTCCCAGGAATCCACAAGGATGAACCAAGCTAAGACTCCTAGCAATAGTGGAGAGGATGCCTGAACTGGCCTTCTCAGGTAATCAGATTGGTGACTACCCTAATTGTCATCATAGAACCTTCATCCAGTAACTGATGGAAGAAGATGCAGAGATACAAAGCTAAGCACAAGGCTGAGCTCTGGGAGTCCAGTTGAAGAGAGGAAGGAGGGAGTATATGAGCAAGGGGGTTCAAGATCACGATGGGGAAACCCACGGACACACCTGACCTAAGCTAGTGGGAGCTCACAGACTCTAGACTGACAGCTAGGGAGCCTCATGGGACCAACCTAGAACCTCTAACAGTTGTGTAGTTTGGTCTGTTGTGGGGCCCCTAGCAGTGGGACCAGGACCTGTCCTTGGTTCATGAGTTGGTTTTTTGAAACCTATTGCCTATGGTGCGATGCCTTGTTCAGCCTTGATGCAGGGGAGAGGAGCTTGGTCCTGCCTCAACTTGATATGTCATGTGCCGTTGACTTTCATGGGAGACGTTACCCTTTCTGAATGGAGACAGAGGAGGAGTGTTTGGGGAAGGGGTGTAGAAGAGAAGCAGGGGAGGGGACAGGAGGAAAGGAGGGAGGGGAAACTGTAGTTTTAATAAAACTATTATAAACAACACAACAAGCCTAAGGGAAATACAGGAATCATTATTTTGGGCTGAAGAAAGGAATGAGTACAGCAGCATATAGCAAGAGATACAACGCCATAATTATTAAAATGACTAGAAACATCTCCAAAAGTGCTCATAATCCCTAGCAATTAAGGAAATGCAAATCAAACAAACTTTGATATTTCATCTTCCCTGAGTCAGAAGACAAAGATCAATGGAACAACAGACAACAAATGCCAGAGGGGATGCCAGCGGCGGGGCAACCCTCATTCACTGTTGGTAGGATTGCCCCTGTGGAAATCAGTGTGGAGAAGTCTCAAAAAGCTAAACATACATCTCCCATATGATCCAACTACACCACTCCTTGGCACATGCCCACAGGACTCTGTACCATACTTCACAGATATTTGCTCAGCCATGTTCATTGCTCCTCTGTTCACAATAACTAGGAGATAGAAAAAACCTACATGCCCTACCACTGACGAATGGTATGTACAGGAGAAGGTGGGAAGAGGGTAAAGGGGGTGGGAGGATACAGTGATCTGATAATGGACGTGGGCAAAGGGGGCTCCTGAGGGGGGAGGGGGGAAGTAACTACAGAAGAACGTGGGAGGAAGGTAAAGCATGAGTGGTCAGATATAAGTGATTGGATAGAGGAAAAGCCTTGTGGAAGAGGGAGGGAGAGGAATACAGTAGATGAAGGTAGGTATATAAAATAACAACGCTGATGGTTGAAAAGGCCATGAGGAAACACACTATTAACCATTTAATTTACAAACCTACAGTGCATGTAATATAGTGTGTAAATGTACATACATAGTTCCCATAAACTGTTCTCATCTGGACTGATGGTGCTTCCTCCAAGAGCCAAAGACCACCTCACGGAAACCCCAGTACCAGACACAAGAAGTCTTCTTTTGAGTTGTTGGCCAGGGCTAAGGGCCTCCCCAAGCATATAACCCACTGCTGTTGCCCTTGGCTGTTCCTCAGAGGTAGAACATAAGTTCCTATTGCCGAGGATACCATGCACTTTGAAACAAGGCTCAGAGACCCCTGAAATGGAGCTGACCTGAATGGCCTCTCCCTGAGGACTAGCTTTCATGGTAACAAAAGGCATCATGTGCTTCCAAAGGAGAGAAGCAACCAACAGTGCCACTCCACTGTGATGTCCAATAACCACATTAATGGCCAGCACGATATGATGAAGTATTGGCATAGGTCTCTTGTTGATAACCACTGGTTCTCTAATTGGACTTAAGACCCACTCAATATGAGGGAAACCATGCTTGGCGCTGGAAAACTAGCTAAATACTCAGTGCTAGTGAAATCATGGTTATTGGAGGAGAATTTATAATCACTAATTTAATAAGGCAACACAATCCTTAATATAAACATTTGTATTTATACAACAGATAAGTGTAGTCTTCACTCCTCATCAAGGAAATTCCTCTTTGCAACCGACAGAGATCATGACAGAAAACCACAACCAATCAAAATGCACAGTTGTGGATCCCAGTCCCAACGGCTACCTCTACAAAACACTCTAAAAGCTAAGCTCAGGGAATATTTGGGAAGAGGGTGTAGACAGATTGTAAGAGCCAGAGGATCAGGGAGTTTTCTGTGAGGTCATATCACTTGATAACATCAGAAGCTACACCTGTGAAGTTTCACCAACACAACTGCCAAAACGTGAAGAGAACCAGAGGACACCAACGAACAGGCCCCAGTGGTCGGGGAAAAGCCACGAAGCTCTGCATGCATTAGAGCAATTGTTGCTTACCCTTCTCCTCATTCCTCGCCAATCACTGCTTTACATTCTGTGAATTTTACTACTCTGGTATCTCATGTAAGGGACACCACATACTTTTTGTCTTTTTGTGGCTGGCTTATTTGATTTAGCATAATGTCCCCATGTTTTATTTACATTGTCATATCTGTCCATATTTCTTTTAAGACTAATGATCCATTGTGCCACATTTTCTTTCTCTAGTCACCCATTGCTGGAAATTTGTGTTTTGATGTTATTAACAGTGCTGAAGAAAAGATGTGTATATGTGTCTCTTCAAGACTTCACTGACGCCGGGCGGTGGTGGCGCACGCCTTTAATCCCAGCACTCGGGAGGCAGAGCCAGGCAGATCTCTGTGAGTTCGAGGCCAGCCTGGGCTACCAAGTGAGTTCCAGGAAAGGCGCAAAGCTACACAGAGAAACCCTGTCTCGAAAAACCAAAAAAAAAAAAAAAAAAAAAAAAAAAAAAAAAAAGACTTCCCTGACATTTTTTAAGTATACTCTCAGAAATGGATTGTTGGATAATGTTTCATTTTTACTTTTTTATTTTTTGAGGAATCAGCATAGTTTTTTCCAAAGCATATATTTATAACCTGTGTATTTGTAATTTAAAAATTTAAAATTATACATGTGATAATTAAAGTCATATAAAAACACATATACACATATACATACATACACGTACACATATATATACATAGATAAATACATACATTTAAGAGGTCAGCTTTTGATGACAGCCTTATTTCTTATCTATGCTCCCAATGTTTCTATTCTATGAACTGAATTTTATAACTAGAAAATAAGAAATAATTATTTTCAAAGCTTACCTCTCTAACATATTTGTCTGATTTTTAAATATGTTCATCATCACATTCATCCGATCAGTCACTGAATAAGGAGCTTCTATTACAAAAAATATAAAGGTATTATAATGGCTGCACTTATATGATCATATAATTCAGTGACATAGATGGGGAAACTAAACAAGCATAAGGAGGTGACACGGTACTTTCAATCACATTTACCTTATTTTATTTTACCTTCTATATTGTCTCTGGCTTCCAACAGGAAATAGTTATAATATAAGGTATATTCAGAGGCAGAAAACACAGTCTGAAGAGATAAGTAATTATGATCACAGGATTCAGATACAGCAGGTGTTTTTAAGTTTATCAGGCAGGAATTTTAAACAACTAATTAAAGTATTTATTACCTAGGAAAAACCTGTCTACATATAAGAGCAGATGGGCAATATAAGCAAAAACTCTAATAAATAGGTAAAAAGAAATGCTAAAGCTCTATAACACTGTAACAAAGAATGTTTTGTGATTGATACAGGCAGTAAATAAAAATAAACAATACAGAATCATCACTGTTACTCTTTTAGAAGCACTTGCATTGTGCCAATCACACTAATGTGTTTTAACCTGTGTGGGCTCTTTTAATCATCATAATAACCAGACAATAGTCTATTGTTGTCTAATAAATATGCCTACTCTATATGGCTACTGTCAGGACAGAAAAAATGTGATTAAATACTTGGAATCCTTTGGAAAACAACCTGCACATTTTTAGATAATTCTTAAGGGCATTTTGCAAATCGTTAAAATAACTTGCTTGAAAAAAGTCACTGAGCACAAAACTCATTGGAAACTCCCCAAATGGAGAAACAAATGAGACAAAAATGCAATCGAGTATTCAAGATCGATAAGATGGTATGTTTTTAAAAGGTGTAATATATGCCTAATGGGGGTAACCAGTGACAAAGAGGGAAATAAAAGAAAGATGTGAGGTGATAATGGCTACAAATATTCTAGAATTAATAACAGACACCAAATCATGTATCATTTAACATTTTTGTTATAACTGTGTAGTTGTGCTTGATGTGTATGTGGGGTGGCTGTGACAGGGCTCACTGGGGATTCTGTGTTCTCCCACTCTGGCATGGGTCCTGATTTAACTCGCCACCAACTCATCACACAACTCATCCCTTGTACAGTAAGTGCTTCTACCTGCTCAGCCATCTGGCTGGCCTGAAGCTAGAAAACGTAAACAATTGAAACGTTTCATACTATTCAACCTTCAGAAATATCAAAGATGAAGAGAAAAATCTGAAGAAGCCAAAGGGACCAAAATAACCTTGTATAGAGATAAAAGATGAAAATCACACCAGACTTCTCTCCCTCCCATACAAGCAGCTAGGAAAACCATCCCTGCATCTGAGAAGTCCCCAGGACCCCAGAACTGCACAGTGTGCACACAGCACTGCAACCCAATCTTCAATCTTCTATATGCCCAGGACTCAGCCACAAAAGCCACTACCAGAGCATGTAAGTTTCCACAGCTGCTGCAGTCTGAAAGCACCAGCAATGCAGACACCAGAGCTGCAGATGCAACATCTCCACTGAGGCTGCTGAGGAAGCAGTAGCTCAGAATACAGCAGCATGCAGACCTCACAGTCACTGCTAGCCCATGCCCCCTTGAGGTACAGAACCTGAACCCATGCACATTCCATAGGTGACATATCTCAGTGCTGGCACTACCATCATTATGGTCATTGTGGTCATCATTATGTCCCATATGGCAAAGCTATATGGGTCACCACCACCAGCTACCTGAAACAGATTCCCTTGGTGTGAAACACACAGATACACAGACACACACACACACACACACACACACACACACACACACACACACAGGAGAATCCTAAACAGTCTTTGATACTAAAAATCTCAACAGGTCCCAGTACAGGTACTTGCACACTGGATACAAAGACTCCTGCAATGATCACTCGTGCACAGACAAGAGACAGAGCTTCCAGGCTGCTGAGCTGTTGTTTGAGGCCAACCTGGGATACATGAGACCCTTTCTTAAGAACAAACAAACAAAGCAGACAAAACCTTGAAAGCAGCAAGAATACAGAGGTTTCTTACTATGGTGTTGTGGATGAGAATGTCCCCCACAGGTCCATGTACATGAACACTTGGTCCCCAGTGAGTGGTGGTAACTGGGAAGGTTATGAAGCCTTTAGGAGGTGTTAATATGATGATGTTTAAATGAATGGTCACTTACCTGGCTCAGTTTCAGAATCAACTTGAGATTCAAAAGTTGAGTGGGATTTTATGAAGTCTGAAATAGATACAAGTATCTGCCATTATACATTTGTTTTTTTACTTAAAAGCTCTCTTTGTTTCATTTTACATATCAACCACAGTTTCCCTTCCCTCCCTTCCTCTCGCTCACCTCCCACTTTTCCCCTACCCTGAACTCCATCCACTCCTCAGAGTCAACAAAGCCTGGTTTATCAAGGTGAGGCAGGACCAAGCCCCTCCCCCTGTATCAAGGCTGAGCAAGGTATCCCTCCATTGGTAATAGGCTCCAAATCCTGGTCCTGCTGCCAGTGACCCCCTACATTTTATATAGCAATCCTATGCACTAATTGAGTTCACAGTCTAAATTTTTAATTTTAATGATTTTCCCAAGCGGAAGACAAAACAACTTCATGGGAACAACAGCCAAATCATAATAGCATTCATCTTGAAGAGTATTTACTTTTTACTTCATGTGTTTGAGTGTTCTGCCTGCATATATGTATCTGCACCATATGTGTGCAATGCCTGCAGACACCAGAGGAGAGAATCAGATCCTCTGTAACTCGAGTTACAGACAGGTGTGAGCTGCCATGGGGGTGTGGGAATCAAACTTGGGCCCTCTGGGAAAGCAGCCAGTGCTCTTAATTGCTGAGCCATCTCTTTTGCTTGGCATTAATCTTTTAAGTTTCCCAAATCCAAACTATAATAAAACTTGTATTGAAATATCAAACTCCCTATTGAACAGTGTCTTCAGTTTACCACTGTATAATTTTTTTATATTCTTATTTTTTTATTAAGAAAATTTTTTCATTCATTTTACACACCAATCAAAGATCCCCCTCTTCCCTCCTCTTGCCCCACCCCCAGCCTTCCCCTCTCAATTGACCTCCCATTCCCACCCACAAGAAGGGAAGGCCTCTCATGGGGAGGCACATCCAGTAGAGGCAAGTCTAAGCCCTTCCCCCTGCCTCAAGGATGCATGAGGTGTTCCGTCATAGGTAGTGGGTTCCAAAAAGCCCGCTCATACACCAGAGATGGATTCTGATCCTACTGCCAGAGAGGCCCCAAGCCGATCAAGCTACACAACTGTCTCGTCATGCAGAGAGCCTAGTCCAGTCCCATGAATGGAACTAGAAAATATCATTCTGAGTGAGGTAACCCAGACTCAGAAGGACAAACATGGTATGTACCCACCCATAAGTGGATACTAGATATAAAGCAAAGGATAATCAGGCAAAGCTGGAATGGCTACCCACTACAACGACCTACAACTCCAGAGAAGCTAACTAACAGGGAAGACCCAGACACATGGACTGTCCTAGGAAGGGGAAACAGATGAGATCTCCATTGTGTAATTTTTTAATTGTAAAAATTAAGCTTTAAATATCGAAGTGCTAATATAGTTAGGGAACTATATAAAACTTAAGCATTTATAATATATTACCTTCAATTTGCTTCTCTACACCTTCATAAGTTTTCACTGGGACTGATGGAGTCTCTTTATCGCTGTTAAGAGTGCCAATAAATAAAACATATCTTCATATAAGTTACATGCCCAAGGAACTGTACTTTACAGACTAGACATATAAGGTTGGTGGAATAAAAGTTAACCTATCAATTATCCTTCATTCATAGTTAATTAGATAAATGAATAGTAAAACCATCCTATATTATAAAGGCCAAATTCTGTGAATCATATATTCCAGGATACAATGAAATACACCAGTAGCATTTAGAACCAAGTGGTGGTAAGATCAGCCTGAGAGTGAGACTACCCTCTCCAAACCTGTGTCTGTGTGGCCTGGAGCTCGCTGCTGCATGTCTCTCTCTAGATTCTTTATCTGTTAAAACTTTTATCCACTAATACCTTTCTCATAAAGTAGTTACGAGGCTTCCAGGTGATAACGAGAAAAATACCTTGTGCACAGAAGACATTTAAATGTCAAATGTAAACACTAATATACATTCAAAAATATTCTTGACAACAAACAGCTCAAAAATGTAAAGAAGCCTTCTTACAGCGCTGACATAATAACAATTCATAGAAAGCACATGAAGAGATTGCATACTGAGTATCATCCTCTCCCAACTATGAGTTTTTCTTTTAACAATATGAAAGTGCTTTATATATTCTTCATGAAAAGTGGTTGAGAGTACAATTCTAAACCTCGTTTTAAAATTTTTAAACAAACATTGAATTTGCTACTAGGATTCACTTGATCAAATTCAGATATGCAAGACCCAGAAACACAAGATTCTCTCTCATCTGTGGTTTCTAGATCCAAATTCTCAGATGTGAGCATAAAACATAGAGTAATGACTAAAACTAAGAAAGTATACAGGGACCATAGGCATGGGGGAGGAGTGTGAGAAGGAATAGCAGGATACAGGTGATATGAAATGGGAAATGAAAAAACATGGAGGGGGTTCAGCTAGAGAGGAGGGGAGGGAGGTCAAGACAGAAGGCGAGAGACAGAGGAGGGACAAATAACACCAAGATTTCTAGAAAAAGCCTCAAGAAATCCTATTGTTCCATATTTACCTAAAATTATACACAGTACATATAAGTGTATAGCTGTCTGTCTGTCTATATGTCTATTTGTGTATGTATGTATCTATGTATATATGTATCTATGCATGTCTGTCTGTCTATCTATCTATGTATCTATATGTATGTATGTATGTATGTATGTATGTATGTATGTATGTATGTATCTATCTATCTATCTATCTATCTATCTATCTATCTATCTATCTATCTTTTTACCTACCTACCAATCTACCTAACAGGAAGTTATGTCAATTAGGTGATAATGATCGCCTCAAAACCCAAAAACTAAGGTATCTTGAGTGACTCCTAAAACAATATTAGACTATCTATAGACCTTGGTTGCCTCTTGAGGGTTGAGGGTAGAACACTATTGCTGAAGGAGCTGCATACTTCAGACACAGGACTCATGATCTGAGCTGTATCTGATCTGAAAGCTTCCTTCCTGTAGTCTAGCTTCCATAGTACCAGAAGATACTTTGCAAGCTGCCAAGCGAGGGAAGCAACTAAAGAGTCCGATGCAGTTGAACTATGACAGTGAAGAACATGGCAAGATGTGCATAAGGGTGCAATGGTGGCATTCACAAGTTGGTAACCAGCAGCGCTGTGACTGGACATAAGGCCCATTCACTAGAAAGAAAATCATGTCTAGTATTAGAAACACAGCTAGTGAGATAACGGACCTTAAAAAAGAATCTACCATCACTAAATTGCTAAACCTGCATAATACCCAACTACATTCTAAATCTATTTTTCAGAGAACATCTCAGAAAAGGGGGTGGAAAGATTGTAAGAGCCAAAATACCAGGAAGTGCGCCGTGAAACCATCTCTCCTAGAAATGGCTGCATAAACAAGCCTGGATAACAGTGGCAGTATCAACGGACATACTAATTGGAAGGTGAAAATTTTTGCAGGGCCCCACCTCTAGCAAAGAATTAGAGACCATTATTGACTGCTGGGAGAAAAATTAGCCTGTCTCAGAGATGAGCTCTCTTTACTGGCTGTCCAATGCAGAATAGTCAGCCCTGAAACCATAATACACAAACAACAACAACAAATTCAGCAGGTTGTAATTATGTATTTGTGCATACATATAATACATACATGTACGTACGTAATAATAAAAAAGGAAAAGAGGCTATTAATTTGAGGGGGCATGGGAGGGCACCTGGGAAGGGCTGGAGGAAGGAAAAGGAGGGACAGGATGTAAATCTATTTCAACTATTCTATTTCAGCATTCAGAAGCGTGTTTAAAATCCAGATGTTTTAAAGAGAGTACTATCCAACAGAAGTTTTAAATAATAGCTATATATGGCTGTCGAGTACTTAAAATGTGTTTAGTATGATCCAGAAGCCAATTTATTTACTAAATTCGATTTGAATAGCCTCTGTGGCTAATGTCTACTACACTGAATAATACCATCTCAGACTATTAAAACTCCAAATCAAAAAAAAAGCAACTAAACATTCATATATCATTTAGAAGTTCTTTGTAAAGCAATAACATTGAATTAGCTTACATCCAATGCTAGTTACTGATTTTAACTCAATTAATCCTTATATTGCACTCACACGTATTTGGACACCAGGGATCCCTTGTGCTCTCTTAGGCGGCTTTTCAGATCTTCAAATTTATGTACCAGATTTGCTATTTGTGTAATGTTTAAATGGACCGATTTGTCATCTGATGGAAGATCTGCTTCTAAAATGCTTTGGTCTTTACCTATCTAAAGTAACAAAATTGACCAGTTACTAAAAACCCATTTGATCTCATACTTCAAAAGCATTTCATTATTTCCCTTTATCAGTCTGAATAACTTTTATTTAATCTCATAGTTAGCTGTATCCAAACACCTGTATAATAGTTACAAATGCATCAGAGGGCACTTCACTGTAAATAGAGCTACAGCTCACTCAGGATATTTATATGTCAAAGCTGACATTTACTATTTTGCTATATAAAAATTTTAAGAAGACTTAACAACAACAAATGCAACTCAAAAATATTTACAAGAACAATTCTAAATCAATTGTTTCACCTAATATTTTTTCTAAGAATATTCTGCTGTAATAAATTATAGAAAGACAATGATAAAGTTATGACTCTCTACTACTAAATCCCAGATGTCAATTTGCTTTCATTTTGCATGGGGAAGCATTTAGACACCTTTAGCTGTTTTATGCTAGAGGGAACAAAAATGAAGAGAGTCTTCTGAGTGAAGATTACACTTTTCTGTCTTTACCCTCTAGTTCTATCCCGAATAGCAAGCCTCTTTCTTTTTTTTTTAAGAGTGTTTAACTAGGGGCAATGATAAGCACAGCCAAAAGAATGGCAGAATAATTCTGAACAATCCCTGAAGCTACCTGGGAAACTATTCTTTCATGCTAGAGGACTATTCACAATCTCTCCCAAAAGAGAATTCAAAGTCCTGAAGACGGAGACCAATTGTTCTCACTCTAGTGTTCAAAGTCTTTGAAAATCTAAAATGCAAAGGATATCATTAAAGGACACAATGCATTTTGTAAAAGCCAATATAATTTTATGTCTGCTTGTATCATGCATGACTTTTAAGCAGAGGAGAAATTTTAAGTTGATAAATTTCTATCACTTTTATGTAAATTTAAAAAAGAAAGTGAGTGAAGTTTTCATTACTCTTTAGGAGAAAGAATGATCCAATAAATCCCATTCTCTCCTGGACTCATGCAGAAAACTCACAAATCACTGATAAACATTTTTACTACCTACTTATTATTTTTCAACCTAAATCAAAATATTACTTTATAATCAATGGTCATTGAAACATTTGCCTCATACAAACTTCAAACAGATTTTCCAATGGGTCAAATACTTACTAATGTAATCAATAGTTAAGAAGTTTCATATTTTACCTCCTCCATTTGGTTGACTTGTTGCTGAAACCACTTCATAAAGGAATAAAAAGGAAATTAAGAGTTAATACACATGTGTCTAGGAACCTGTATCTGCCAAGCACCATTACTGACTCACACACACACATCACACAGGGTTCAGAATGGAGCTAGGGCAACATACAGATGCAAACAGAAACTTAAAAATATCTAGCAGCCACCATGGAATTCTGCAACTTCAAAACCTAGATCGTCTTTGCTTAACATGCATTCTTCTCTTTAGTTTCAGCTGTAATGAAATGAAACACATACCTTGAAAAGAGACTCCAAGATCTGGAAGACAAAGTTTCTGTTAGTATACTTAACGATAAAATAAGCATCATGCAGCTCTTACAATTTTGAGTCATAAATTTGCTAAAATTCTTATGATTTATATTGCTAAAATAACTACAAATCTGTGGTACCACAGATGCAATAATTTTGTGGTTATGGTGTTTAGTCCATTTTGTATACACAACTACTGCTAGAATTAAAAATAGCTTTTTATTCCATAGGATTACGGAATAAATTGTTCACATCTAATGTTTTGTTTGTGAAACGAAGTTCCCAGAAAATTGTCACACCCACGTTATACATTCTACAAGGGGCAATTAACTCATTTTAACCCAAATGATAGTGGAGATGTGCAGTTTCAGGGGGAAATCACCTTGGGCTATCTTGGCCCCCAAACAGCCATTTGTTGTTGACCTCTGTGTATAACTCGATAGTCTTGTGACTCTTAAACCAAGCAGTTTCCAGTGTACAGACAGGATCTGTAAGTGCCATCAACTGAATGGCTAAGAATGTGCCAGCTGGCACCTGAGGCCTACAGCAGTGATTTCCCCACTGTTCCAAAACCTGCCTACCTGCTATTCCCAGAGAAGAATTTGAAAAATGCTTCATTTGTAGCTTTCTTTGTTTTGATAGTATAAAGACTTCACGATTTATTCCAAGACAGTTTATCTTTTGATAAAGATATTGTGAATACTGCTTGCCTGTTTTCTTTCTATGTATGCTTGTCATTTGTGTGCAGGAAGGTTACGGATTTTTGTGTCTAAATTTTGTATCCACTTATTTTACTGAATATATTTATGAGTAGAGATCTTTTTTTGGTAGAGTTATTAGGATCTTTTATATATAGAATCATATCATCGGCAAATAAAGATATTTTGACTTCTTCCGTTCCACCCTAGGCTACTGAATCAGATATTTAGTGGGGGCAACAATCAGCTGGGGACTTTAAACGACTGCTTTTTATGATAAAGTCTGAGTTGAGCTAGATTGTGGTTAATGGAGTGTAGAGCAACTCCATGAAAAGCTTCCTGAAGAGAGAGTCACGTATTTGTCTTAATTACATTGAAACCACTGTGACAAAACGTAATTAGGTGAAGGAAACTTATAAGAGTAAGTGTTTAATTGGATTTAGGGTTAGAGTCCATGATGGTGAAGCAAAGGTCCTGTGTCAGGAAGAGCTCGAATCTTGATCTGAAGGCAGGAAGCAGAGAAAACATACTGGGAAGGGCTTGAGCTTTTGAAGTTTCAAAGTCACCCTGAGACACACTTCCTCCAACAAGGCCGTACCTCCCAAACAGTTACATCAACTGAGGACCAAGTTTTCAAATATGCCCTATGTGGGCTACTCTCATTCAAACTACCACATTCTGCTCCATGATCCCCAAAGACGTGTGGCCATATCATAACGTAAAGTGCACTTAGTCCAACTTCAAAAGTCTCTATCATTTTTCAGTCTCAACACTGTTTAAAAGTCCAACATTCAGAATCTGTTGTCAAACCTAAGGCAATCACTTAACTGTAAAATCAAGGTGCAAATTACATACTTTCAACATACAATGGCACAGAATATAATTGCTATTCCAAAAGGAAGTAATCCAGTCACTGGGGGGGAAAAAAACCACTGGACCGAATCAACACAGACGTATAGCTGGGCAAAGTCAAATCCTGCAGCTGAGCTCTGTATTTGAGGTCAGAAGCCTTAACTGGCTCCAGGATTCCAGCTCTGCTTCCTGCAAGATAACCTCTCCCTCGGGCTGTTCACTCCACATCCCAGCCCTCCGTGGCAGATATCCCTGGGATCCGGCCCCTCTGACACCTTAGGGGGGAGGGGCTCCAACCCAATCTAGGCTTCATGGTCATGGCTCCACACGCTGGCCTCTCAAGGCCTTATGCCCTCTCAGGGCCTTCACGCAGGGACTGCCCTGTCATACATTGTCTGACCTCAGCAGTTCTCCGTAACCATGGAGTAAGACTCTGTATCCCTATACTCGTGGATCCATCACAGCTCGAAAGCCAGATCAAAAGCAAGTGACACTGCCAAGTTCAGCTGCATGTTTGTGGATGGAGCCTGGCTCCTTGATCACATTTGCAGCAGTTCTCAGTTCCTTTTTAGGAGCAGAAAATTGCTTAGGCCTTTTCCTTTCACAGGGGAAAGGAAGTGTGCTGGGTAGGGTCTTGCCCTGAGGGGACCTTAGGCCTGTCTTCAATCTCCTTATCTCCTTCTGTAGAGACCTTGGCTCCAGCATTGAATTTTCATTTTGAATTGTTTTCTGCTCTTTCTCATTGTAGACCTGCGTAAGAATGATTACTAGTAACCATGGGGCAGGGTCAATAATAGGGTGCCTTGAATTCTCCTCCAACGAAGAATCTAGTTCATTACTTTTCAGCATCGCCTCAGGGAAGTTTTCAGGACATGTGCTGAAGGCAGACACATCCTTTGCCAAAATGTCACAGGAATGGTTTCCAGTCTAATTGCTGAGATTGTTGCTCTCCGAAACCACGGTCTGTATGGATCTTAGTCTTCCAAGCTTCTACTAAGATAGCTCATTGAGCTCTGCTTACAGCATTCAACCACTTTCCAAGGCCAAGGTCCAATACATTTTCCATTTTCCTTCAAAATGCCACGTGGAAAGGTCTACCTCAGCAACAGCCTACTGCCTGATAGCAGTTTCTGTCTTAGTAATTTTTAAATTGCTGTGACAGCAGCTTTAAATGGAATGTCTCCATCAAATCCCTCTCCTCAGAGCTCAGGGAACCCCAAGTCAGAGGTGGGAAGAGTGTAAGAGCCAGAGGGGATGGGAGAACCCCAGGAGAACAGGGCCCTCTCAATCCATAGGCAAGATGAGCTCACTGAGATGGAAGCAGCAAGCACAGGGCTCACATGGGACCTACTGCACCAGGCCCTCTGCGTGTATGTTACAGCTAGTAGCTTAGTGTTCCTTGTGGGACTCCGGACTGTGAGGACGAGTGGGTCTCTGATTCTTGGGCCCTTTCTTCGGCGCTCTCCCTTCCATGGGTTTGCCCTGCTCAACTTCAATGGGATGGCTTTTACTTTACCTTATTGCATATTTCATTTTAGTATGCTTTGTTTTTATCACTTAGAAGCCTGTTCTTTCCCAACGAGAAACAGAGGGAGTGGATCCAGATGGGAGGGGTCGTGGGGAGGAACTGGGATGAGTAGAGGGAGGGGAAACTGTAAAGAGGATATATTATTTGGGAAAAGAATCTACTTTCATTAAAAGAGAAAAAAAGAAGGGGGGGAAGAGAAATTATAGACTTATTGCGCATTATACTTCATCTAACCTTCATCTCTGTCTCTTTATAGAAATAGCGGAAAAAGCACTGCGTATGAGAATCAGTGGGGAAAAGATGCAAAACGGCTGCCTCGGGCATGTGGGAGCATCCAGGCTTCCTGTCATAATGATGAAATGCTTTGAACTACACAGAGGTGGAGGCTGCACAGCGTGGTAAATGGAGAAAATCTCCTTCACGCTTCTGCTCCGAAGTGGTTAATATTAGAGTTATCTAAAAATTTTTTTACGTTCTTTTATTAAGAGATTTTCTATTCATTTTGTATACCAACCACAGATTCCCCTGTCCTTCCTCCTCGCACCCCCAGCCTTCTCCACAAACCACTCCCCTTCCCACCTCCTCCAAGGCAGTCTTCCATGGGGGGAGTCAGCAGAGCCGGGTACATTCAGCTGTGGCAGGTCCAAGCCCCTCCTCCCTGCACCAAGGCTGCGCCAAATGTCTCACCATAGGTACGAGGCTCCTGTCCCTAGTTATCTAAACTTCAGCTAATATTAGTAATAATTAGTTTTCCCCAAGATAATATTTTTATTATTTCTTTGCAAATTTCATACAATTTACCCCAGTCCCACTCACTTCCCATTCCTCCCAGGTCCACCTTCCCACCTTTGTGCCCCTCCCCCCCAAAGAGAAAAGAAAGAAAAATTATTTTTTAAGTTGAAAAATTTGCAGTCTTATTCTAGAATTCTCCTTTATTATAAACACTTTCATTATTCATTTTAGAAAATTTTGAATAATTACCTTTGAATGTGATGCATGTGTTTTTCACATATTTCCGTGTATTTCAAGATATGACTTACACAGACTTTTCTTTCAAATTCTATTTTGTAGCCGGGCGGTGGTGGCGCACGCCTTTAATCCCAGCACTCGGGAGGCAGAGCCAGGCGGATCTCTGTGAGTTCGAGGCCAGCCTGGGCTACCGAGTGAGTTCCAGGAAAGGCGCAAAGCTACACAGAGAAACCCTGTCTCGAAAAACAAAAACAACAACAACAACAACAAAAACAACAACAACAAAAACAACAACAACAAAAACAACAACAACAAAAACAACAACAAAAACAACAACAACAAAAACAACAACAAAAACAACAACAACAACAACAAAATTCTATTTTGTTACTAACTGAAACTTTTAGGACATATAATAAAATAATTTAGTAGCATTAAAAAAATAGATGCCTGTAGATTGAGCATACTATAACTTGTGCTTTAGAATGTCATCTAATTAGAACTATTTTCAGAATAAAGCGGGCATAAGCATTTATGGAAAACATCTTATCTAGTGGAAGCTATATAATTAGTGTTGTATTGAAAATATATGTTTCAAAAATTAATAAAGTAACAACTCAATATAATATTGTAATTTAAATTTTATTATATTAATAAATTTTAATGTGGAAATCACTGATTTCCCTAATAAAATGAAAATTCATAGAGAGAGACAGGAAGAGAGAGAGAGACCATAACTACATCACATACATACAACTTGTGGAGTAGTGTTAATTAACTTGTTATAAAAGTTATTTCTTTTTTTTTTTTTTTTTTTTTTTGGTTTTTCGAGACAGGGTTTCTCTGAGTAGCTTTGCGCCTTTCCTGGAACTCACTTGGTAGCCCAGGCTGGCCTCGAACTCACGGAGATCCGCCTGCCTCTGCCTCCCGAGTGCTGGGATTAAAGGCGTGCGCCACCACCGCCCGGCCTAAAAGTTATTTCTTATATTTATGTATTTAATATATATCAACATAGTGTATAATTTTGAATATGTAATATTACTTTTCAATTATACTACAACAAAGCTTCAAAAAACTAAAAGAATGTAAATGACTCATAGAATATGATTAGATCAAAAAATGAAAAAAAAAATAAATTGCTCTGTCAAAATACCATGACAAAGGCAATTGAAAGAAAGCATTTAACTGGGCTTATAGTGTCGGAGGGTTCCAGTCCATGAGGGTGGGGCAAAAGCATGGCAGCAAGGGAGCCGGGGGTTCACATCTTGATCCCAAAGCAGGAGACAGAGAAAGCACACTGGACATGGTGGGGCCTTTTGAAGCCTCAAAGCTTACTCCATGACACACTTTCTCCAAGGCCACACATCCTAATCTTTCCCAAACAGTTTCACTAACTGGGAACCAAGCATTCAGGCATTCTCCACAGGGGTAACTTTCATTCAAAGCACCACAGTGTTTAAAGTTGAATTTTCAAAAATGACCTTCAGAAAGTAATGGTCTAGATAAGCACGGTGTACGTAAACTTTGGGGTTTTTCAACAGGAATGCTTGTGGAGCTACAGAGATACAGGGCACCACCTGAAATAAATGTGCAACCAATGGAAGGGTTTTATAAAAATCTTGGCTCTAAGACAATATTTCATTCTTGTCTAGCAATGTGACATGGTTTAGTCACATTGGCTTCTACAAACTGCTGGAAGGGTACAATGTATTTTTACATATTTATGGGCTATTTGTGTTTTTTTTTTTCTCCTTTGAAATATCTTTTTAATGTCATGGTGACCTATCACTCACTTACTGATTCAGATTCATAATAATCATGGTAGTCTTTTATCAGCTTTACATGATCCAAATGTTTTGCTTATATGACTTTTTCTTGTCCTTTTCTCTTTGTGGATTTTTTAATATAATAGATTCAGGCTTTAATTTTAACATAGTTGGGTTTATCAATCTTTCCTATAATGACTTGTATTTCCTTCTCATTATGATTTGTATTTTGATGAACCCAGAGCTTATTGATTGTTTAGACTGGCTGATCATTAAGCTCCACGGATCTGTCCATTTCTACCCCTCATCCCAGTATAAGGGTTACAGGGGTTACAGATGTGCACCAAGCAGCTTTTATGTGGATGTTGGGGGGGTCTATATCAGGTCCTCACGCTTGTGCATCAGGCAGGCACTTTACCAACAGAGTCCTCCCTCCACCCTCTGAGTTCACTACTGTTCTACATGTCTACTGTCGATCTTCATCTAGTAAAATATTGTTTGGATTACTGAAAACTTAGAAAAAAGTTTTGAAATATTTTTCTCTTACATGAGAAATGAATGTAAAAATACTGCTAGAAACATTTAACAGGGGAAATATGTAATTGGAAAATACAGACAAAAAGTAGTAAGAACATTTGTATCAGCTAAAATAACATGCAAAACAGAAGCACAAAATAGAATAATTAGTCATCAAGATAAAACAGTCATAAGGAATTATGAAACAGACAGATGCCGGGAGGAGGAAAGGGAAGATGGGGAAAGGACAAAGACAAATGACGTCAGGTAAACAACATTACACGTCAAGTTGGACATATGAATATAATATATTAAGGAACAAAGTACATGATATTATATCTTATTAACTATACAATGTATATAGAACAGGTACTAAATGTTGACCTCCACCTATAAATACTGAGTCCATTTTTCAGGCAACACAAGAAAACATTATAAAATAATCAGTTTCAGCCTGCCAAAAATGTCTTGCAAATATAATAATGACCATAGTGTGTTTTAAAACTCAAAGTGTATCAGCAAATGAGCAAAACATGATTTCATTTAAAATTTACTTATTTATTTATTATTTGCTGTGGGTGTTTTGTCTGCATGTTTGTCCATATAAATTACATGTGTGCCTTGTACCTGCAGAGGTCAGAAGAGGGTATTGGGTCTCCTGGAACGAGAGTTACACATGGTTATGAGCCACCATGTAGTACTGGGAACCAAATATGGGTCATTTGCAAGAGCAACAAGTGCCCTTAATCATTGAGAAGTCTTTCTAGCCACACATTTTTCATTGTTGAAATAAAGATAATATATAAGGAAAAATAATAATATATAAGGAAAATCAGGGAGTCAAGCAAAACTGTGCTAATAGTATTTTTCATAGTATCCTTTTCATACTGGGAAAGGGTACTATGGTGATACTTTGTTTTGTTTTGTTTTTTAATCTGTCTTTGATTTTAAATTAACATTAATTAGAACATGATTTTGATAATACAAACTTATTTTTAAAATGAAAATAAAATATAGAAATTACATTTGAAAGTATGTATGACTATATTGATACTTTATTTAAAGAAAATTTCACAGATATCAATGCCTACATTGAGAATAAAGAAATCTAAAAAAATTTTCTAATGACCCTCCCAATTTTCCAAAAGATTGATTCTAGACTAATACGGCTGACAGCATATCACATCTGTTTCTACAACCAATATAAGTTCTCATAGTTTACATGGGGCACTGGACTTGGAATACATACGTTACGTTCTTCCTTAACTGCTTCCTCCAACTGAGCTGCAAATTGTGAGCAGCACAACAAGAATGAATTCATATCATCGCCAACCTTCCAGAAAGAACCACAAAACGGAGTCACTTTCAATTTTAGAACCCACCTGTATATCCACTTACTTCTTAATATGTTTAACTGTGTTTTGAATTATTTGAATTTTGTGTAATTTCCATCCCTTCAAACATGGGTGGCAAGAAACTATGTTTCAAATGTTATCCAGAAAACCCTCCTAGAAATGAAATATGGAAGAAAGCACATCCTGGGGAGTGATACACACAATATGTTGTTGTTTTTCTGTTGGCTTAGTGGACGCACCTGAATCTACTGATATTTTAACTACCATCTGAGGATAATAACCCCACAGTCAGTACCCGGCTGCTGGATTTCTGGTCCCATCAGCACCAGCTAGGTTGCAGTTGTGGCTGCCAAATGTAGGTTTTAACTAAGTCTCTACCATTCTATTTATCAATAAAGACTTGGGAGTCAGATGTTAGGGTTAAAACCTGATAGATCAGGGAAGCCAAGAAGTAACCAGCTGACCTTCCTTTTTGGCCAGAGATCCAGCAAGAGAAGTGCCTCTCCACTCATCCCAAGCCAAAAAGACTGGGAATCTCCTCAATCCTTCCCTCCTCCTCCCTGTGCATCTCTCTATCTGTAGTTCTGGGTCCTCTGTGTTTTCCATGGCTAATTCTTGTCAACTAGTTGCTGGCTCCGCCTCCTGTTCCAAGGTTAATTTTATTAGCATGGTCTCAGAGTTCCACAGTGCAATCAAATATCCTGTAACAAAACGTTCTCCTATTTTCATCTATACAACTGCAGAAACTCAGGCAGCCCATCCTTATACTCCTGTTTTTAGGACTTTCTAAAGAAAATAACTACTGTGTGTGTATAACTGTACATATTAGAAAATTAATGTAGGACTGTGGCTGATGATCAGTGGTGGAGCACTTACTTGTTCAGCAAACCCAAGGCCATGGGTTCTAGCCCCAGCATCACAAAAATAGAAAAGAATATAAACTACAACTATTGACTATAAGTATGCTTGTCAAAATCTGTAGTCTTTCAGTGTAACCTATTAGTAGCCAATCACCAATACAAGGATTAAATATTATCCAGTAGATATTTGCACATCAGAAAACCAACCCATGTTAAATCAACCTTAATGCTTATTTCCAGCTGAGATTCTCACAGAAGATATCCACTGAACATAACACTCCTACCATACTCCATAGGAACAAAACAGATGAGACATGCATATTATTCCAGCACTTGAAAGGCTTAGGCAGTGGAGTCCAAGTTTCAGGCCAGCTTGGGCTACAGAGGGTATTCAAGGGAACTTAGTGAGGCCTTGTCTCAAAATTTTAAGGTACACTTGTGTATGTGTGCATGTACCTGTGTGCATGTATGTCATACTACACATGTGGAGGTCTAAGAACAGGAGCTGGTTCTTCATGTGAGTTCCAAGGATTGAACTCAGGTCCGCAGGCTTGGTAGCAAGCACCTTTACTCACTGACCATCTCGCCAGCCCTCAAAAATTTAAAGAAGTGGTAGAGTGTTGCTCAACCACACTTTAGGCCATGAGTTCAATCCTTAGTACCAAACAACAACAACAAAACAAAGAAAAAAACAAACACCCCCCCAAAAAAAAAACAAAAACAAACAAAATATTGGGAGAATCAAGGAGAGAAGGAAAATGGACCAGAGAAGAGTTACCAGTCACAAATATAAAGACAGTTCATTCCATCACTCTTAATTGCCACAAAATAGAGACCAATTTGACAAGGTTTGTTGTTTACCCAAGTAAGAGCACCAGGCAGAAGCAGACAAGAGAGTTCAGCAGATATGCTGAGGAGTGAGAATACTAACTTGTGTACTATGTAACTTTAGCTAGCTGAGAAAGGACAGAAGGATAATTTGGGACACAAAATTGGTAGGACCAATGGCCTTTAGGTCCTTGGGAAACTGAGGAACTTCTCTCATAATATTAAACAGACTACAGGGAAACAAAGAAGGTGACAGCCAGAGGTCAGGGTCCCTGAAATAAGTTCAGTGACTGACACCTTGTCATCAGTGTTTGAGATGGAATAGAAGACTATTGGTGGAGTAATAAAATTCAGTGAAACGGAGCACCATATTACATAGACAGTTCTTCCACACAGATAAGGAAATCATCAAGAATTACGACAGTGGATGTGAGAGAAGCTGATTACTACATGCACACTACTTGTTGAATATCGCACATTGAGTCTTTCTTTCATACTAACAGAAGTTCTTTTTTGTTGGGAATAGTAACATATAGCTATTACTACTGCTGCTACTGCTGAGAGTTAAAAATTTCCAGTCTTACACCAATGATCAAAATAGTCAGATGTCCTGAAAGGTGCAACAGTGGTACTTGTATCTTGGGGTAACCCAAAGCCATATATTTGGACTTTAGGTCTTATAAGTAGAACAGTGTTGATGAATTTCTAAACGGTCTTATTAAATAAAAAACATGGAGTCAGAAATTGGTTAAAGCCTGAGACAGAGATCAGAGGGTAGGACAAGCCACCAGCCAACCTTACCTCACTTCCTCAGCTTCCTCTGCCAGCAACTTCCTGTCTATCCAAGCTTAAATGCCTTTTCTGTTCTGTTCTCTCATTGGTTTTCTTAGACCAGCTACATCACTTCCTCTTCCTGCCCAGCTCTGTCAATTCCTGTTGGGCTGTACAGACCTCCAGACCGCTATGGTTGGTACTGGGATTAAAGGCATGTACTGTTTCCTAGTGTGGCCTTAAACACAGAGATACTGCCTGCTAAGTGATAGGATTAAGGGTGTGTGCTACCACTGCCTGACTTCTTGGTTTTACTTAAAATGGCTTGCTATTTCCTCTGGTCTCCAGGCAAGCTTTATTTATTAAAGCACAAATAAAATATCACCACAGAGCAGAATTCATGCCAAGCACTGTAAAGCTACATAACTACCTGTGGCTGGTGATGCCATGGACCCTAGAGGAGAATGACCTACTGCCACTTTCCTAAACCATTATAATGTCTAACTGCATTCTAATACATATCCTTACACACACAGAGATGAAGCTCTCACCCCTCATCAAAGAAGCTTCTTTTTGTAGCAGATAGGGGACCACTACACAAACTCACAACTGTCCAGAATGCAAAGAACAACTGATCATGGGGTGCTCGCCCCCAGTCAATACGGCTACAACACAACCACACACAATAGCGATACATAAAATTAAAAAATGCAAGTGCGAATGTATGGTTGAGTCAAACGTATGTAAAACAGGGCCAACAAGATGGCTCAGCAGTTCAGAGTGCCTGGTGCACTTGTAAAAGACCAGAATTCAGTTCTTGGAAACTACTTGGGTGGTTCACAACCTCCTGACACTTTAGCTCCATTGTCCTTTTCTGGAATCTGCAAGCACTACCACACATGTGCACATTTACACATATAGAAAGGCACACACACACATAAATATAATTTAAAAGACACCTTAAAAAGTTAAAACAAGCAAAAAATGAAACCAAAACAAAACAAAAACAACCCACTGAATGAGAACCATGCGGCTATGTTAACAGCTACATTTTTTTTTTTTTTTTTTTTTTTTTTGGTTTTTCGAGACAGGGTTTCTCTGTGTAGCTTTGCGCCTCTCCTGGAACTCACTTGGTAGCCCAGGCTGGCCTCGAACTCACAGAGATACGCCTGGCTCTGCCTCCTGAGTGCTGGGATTAAAGGCGTGCGCCACCACCGCCCGGCTAACAGCTACATTTAAGTAGTATGTACAAGAAAGATATTTGCTAAGCCTCAAATGCCTTCTTTTTTTTTCCACTTTAAAGGCTAGAAAAAAAGAGTATGTTTTTAAATTACATTTTATTATTTATCTGTATGTGGGAGGTTGGGGAGGGGGGCTCATGTTTGCCTTCGAAAGTATACCAGTAGAGGTCAGAGTATAACTCGCAAGGGTTGGCCCTCTCCCTCCAACCATGTAGGTCTCGAGGATTGAACTCACGTTTGCCAGGCTTGGTGGCAGGCACTTTTACCCACTGACCCATTTTGCTGGTGCAAGAATACTTTTTTATAGCCAACTCAAGCAAAGTAGCTAAGCTCATATTTAAAACTCATCACAGAGGCAAGATTGTAAAAACAGTCTACAGATAGTTAAGACAGGAGTTGGCAGAGGCTGGAAACATTAGCACACTTCTTCCAAGTGTCACAAGAGGATCTTTGTATGGCTAGGGGTCCATTTGGACAGTGTGTGTTTACTCCAAAGGCAAGGGTTAAGCCCTTCCGGCGTTGAATTTCTTTCATTAGCGTTATGTACACGTACAGATAAAGACACGCCTTCCGCTTTAGGTCTCATGGGTGTTCTTTCCCCGTCTTCATCGACAGCTCCATACGTGTCTTCCAAAGCAGTTACCACCTTAGAAAAACGCAAACCGAGTTGAATTTGTCATTGGCAAAATGGTCAAACAATCACACCGTGATGGAATAGATGTCATTTTATTGCCAGAGGCAGGAAGGTCGACTTTCTGCCCCTTGACTCATCACGCATCATTAAGAAGATGCCAGCTCAACAGTGCTTAATCCTGCTTCCTAGCCATGGGACACCCCCAAACCCTTTCTTCTCCATGTGAAGAAGTAGCTAAAAGAGAAAAAACGTGCCTGCAAAAAGCTGAAGAAAGCAGAGTTTTCGTCAAAGTCTCATTTTCCTCAGAATAAGGCATTAAAAAAGAGAAGAGTAAAGAGCAGAAAGCAATAAACTTGAAAAGACATTCTCTGAGTTAACAAACTGACCAGGAATCTTAGAAGCATGATGAACTGTAATTTTTATATTGGTGTCCTCCCTCCTTGTTCTCATTTAAAAGTCTATTTACAATTTGACTGTCTATCATTACGTACCATGAAACTTAGAGAAACATTAAGTGCTATAATTCCTGAAGTGCGGACCAGAGTTACCACAGCTGGGATGAGATTTCAAGATGCCTGTCCCCACAAAGCCCTGCTTGCAAAGACAGCCTTAGCCTGGCAGTTAGGAATTTTGCTTTCAGGAAGCTAGAAAGAATGCTCTTTATCCCAGACAGTGTGCTTTATGCTGAACTGCTTTCCTTGGGATTCTGGAATTCTAATACGCGCTTGACAGAGAACACTTGAGGTTCTCAGCCCTCTGGGCCCTGAGTTTCCAATTACGTCTTCGGGCACCCATTCTTCTAAGTCATCATGATTCATTGCTGGAGGAACTAAGCATGGCTCATACGACTTCAGAGAGCATGCAGAGCCTTGGCCCTGTTTTCCCTCTAATTACATCCTCCACATGCGGGATGTACTAAATCTTATCAATGGTATAATGATATATGGAGTCCAGCATAGCTACAGCTGATTCTCCTGCTACACAACAGCAAATCCCCCAGCCTAGTGACCATCTTGGGAATTACCTCAATAGGAGACACAACAAACATCTTACCGTCTTCAGGTGTTTGGCAATCCTCCTGACCATTTCATCTTCAGCTATTAAGTCCTTGGTCTTACTTGATGGTATCGGCAAGGCATACCGTACAATTGACTCTCCTGTGGGTGGAGACCTTAGGACCATTGGTTCAGTTTTATCATGTAGTGGCTTGGTATTACGTTTTTCTTTCAGCTTAGGTGATGAATTAAGTAGTCCTTTTTTAAAAGGTAATTCTGGAACACTTGTCAATTTCTTACTAGTGGTTGATAGATGCTTTGCCCGTTTCATTTTTGTGGACTGATTTAGCTTCCAAACTACATGTGAAAAATTCAGTACCTCCCTGTGAACAAAACATTAAGAGATTCAAAGAAAAACCCCACAGCATTCATTTAATTAACCAAGAAAACTAAATTCTTCTAATGAAACTCATAGATACTAGGCATGTTTTATCATTATGGTACTGTAGCAGACTGCTAAGATGACATTGTTATTGTGTGATTGTGAACAGTTCTGTACAGGCTCATGTACTGGGTATTTGTTTCCCAAATGATGGTATTAGTTTGTGAGGTGGCAGAAACTTTAGGAGGTGTGGCCTACCTGAAGGATGTTGATAAGTGAATGCTAACTTTGAAGGCTTACACCTGGTTCCCAAATTCCTGCTTTCTGCTTCTGGTCACCAGTGTGACCAGCCTCATCCTCCACATGTTTCCCATCATAAACTTTTGCTTTTTATAGATTCAGAAGCACAGAGCCAAGTGACCATGGGCTGAACCCTCTGAATCTGTGAGTCAAGTAGGTCATTCCTTTTACTGGTACTTATGTCAAGCTATTTGTTATAGAAATGCCAAAATAACTGAACCATACACCAAACCTATCCTGGGAGGAGCTACCATTATATGTTTGGCTGTTTTTAATGGCAAGTTAAATAAAACAATGGAAATATTTAAACTCAAGAATGGCAACCTAACAGTGAAAGACCCATTATTAAGCTAAAATGCACCCTTCACATACACCATCATTCTCATTTTGCATACAGGGATGTCCCTGCAAGTTGAAGAATATGAAAGATTGTTGCCTGCTACCAAATGCTTAATGAACAATAACGAATCTTCTCTTACAAACAAGTTAATTTCAACTCTAGCTTAGTTTGTGGTTACAGCTGTCCCATGTCTTTGTCCAAGTTGCTATAATAAAATACCATAAACTAAGTGACTTAGAAACAACAAATATTTGTTTGTTACAGTTATGAAGGCTGGGAAGTCCAGCATTGTGTCACCAGCAGATTTGGTGTCAGATAAATTCCAAACGTCAAACTATTGATACATCTGTCTGTCTTCTCTGACAATTGGCCAGCCAGATGTTTTCCCAGGCCTTATTTATATGGTCCTTAATTCTATCCATGAACACACTGCCCTGATGACCTCATCACCTTCCAAAACTTCCAACTCCTGAGACTATCATCTTGGAGGTCAAGATCTCAACACAAGAATTTCTGGAGAACCTGTAGACCATGAGGAAAAATCTAGCACTGAGCGAGAAACACACATGTGCATAAATGGATCCACATGCACATTTTCCTTAAATTTCTTGAGAGATACATAGATTAGATATTAAGACTTTTGACAGTTTCTTAATACCAAACTATCAGACAAAGTAACTCTTTCCCCCTGAATGCATATAAGCTAAAAGACAAGACAATTTGACAAGAGAAAAACACAATTATCAGAAGATAAAAACCACAGAGGGAAAAATGCATCATACATGAAGATCATACCAGAGAGACTAAAAATGAATAAAAACAGAGAGAGAATACATGCACTATAAACAGGGGTAAGTGGTGTTTTTGAAGGCAAAAAAAATGGAAATAGTACAAACAAAAATGGACAACATAATTGACCACACATCTGCAGATCAGATTAGTTTGATGGATGATCAGATTGAGATGATATGATAGGGAGCCAAAGAAAACATAAAAGCAAAGCAATACAGAGCAAAACTAGAGAAATGAAGAACAAACCAAAGAGATACGTTGGAATATGTAAAAGCCAACAGACAGCTAATAAGAGCCCCAAAGGAAAAGTAAGGTGAAACATACAGGAAGAAATACTCCAACAAATAAAAAAGATGAATTTCTTAGACCTAAAGAGTGCCGTAATGTCCAGATCAAAATATTCTCAGAACACCAAAAAGAAATAAGAACACAAAGCATCTCAGGAAGAAATGTAAGCATCTAAAAGAGAAAAATTAACAAAAATCATTCAGAAAGAACATGAAACCTAAAAAGGAGGATAAAAGAATCAATGATGCCATTTAATATTTCTCCTCACATGGTTATATATTTTATCTAAATTTTAAACCCATTAAGGGCTAACAAATAAGTACGTTTCAAAGAATAAACCAGCAAAGGAGTGAGTGAGCTGGTGCTGAAGCTGTGGCCTGGGACTAGAGTCCAAGTCCCCTGCCACCACCACCTCAGTCAGAGTAAGTGCTGAAAGAATTGGCCCCAAGTGGAGGCTATGGTGGGAGTGGCCTGTGTGGGCTGCAGAGTTCTCAGGGCTGGGAAGCCCCAAACTAGGAATGTGGTGGTCACCCCTCATCATCAGGGGTCCAGGCCTGGCTACTAGCCAGGTACAGAATGGTTCATCTCAGCTTGGTGCTCTAAATTGGGCTGTTTTCAAGCCCCAGGAGAGTGGCCACAGAAAGATGATCAGCTCAAATCCCAACCAGCTTCCTAGCCTCAGCATTTTCTGGGCACTCATGCCCATGTGGAATTGTAGCAGCTGGGAGGTCTCTCCTGCCACTGCTCAAGCCAGGAATTAGGGAGTTCCCACTGCCTGCTCTGCAACCCTCCTCTCTCCCATTCAAAAGCAAGCTTCTTTCCCCTCTCCACTGGAAGTCCTAGCTCTGCAGTCCTAAGTCTGTCCTTCCCCAGCTCCCGAAGCACTCCCAGGAAGACAAGGCTGAGACTTTCATTCTCGATTTAGCTCTTTGCCTCTTAGTAGACAACAGTTGATCCTCTCCTCTTAACATCATACTAATGGATTTTATCAATTAGGATCACCAGCTCTCAGACCATCTCCATGTGACTTCCCCACTCATCTGAGGTCCAGCTTCCCTGGGCTCCATTTATCAGCTCCTAGGGGATCTAGTGGATCTCAACCCAGAATGGGAGTGATCAGAGAAATCCAATTCAGGATTTTCCCTCCTGGAATCCAAGTCGGCAAAAAAATTGGGTGTGAGGTATGAACCTGGCATCTCTACTCACCTTGAATAGGAAGGTTAAAATAAAAATCACAAAGAGCTCACTGGAATCTGCTTGCCTACAGGGCAGCTGGAGAAACCCAAGAAAGCAACACTTTGTTTAACACTGAGCCTTTGGACTTAGGCTCCAGTACGACTCAGAGGAGCAGGAGGATTGCATGCAAATAAAAGTCATTCTTTTACCAAGGAATACCACTTACGGTGGTGCTGCAAGATCTGTTATCCCCTCATGTTCTCATCGTCTTAGAGTCCAGGCCTGTGTCGTGTGCCGTGTCAGCTTGATGTGAATGCACTTTGCTCTCAAGGAGGATCTGGATGCCTTCAAGGAAGAATTAGAGCAAAAAAATCTAATCAGAAAGGCTCACTCCAGGACATGCCCAAAACATAATGAAGGACTGGAGCAAATAAACACAACTTGAGAAGGTAGATCCCTTTGAGAAGGGAGCTGGGCTCTCTTACAGTCAGGATCAACATCACAGAGTCAAGTAAGCAGATACGTCCGTTGACTTCTGAAGTAAGCACCTTAAAACCAATGCTACCTTAGATGTACACTTCACTTGCCTCCCACGGTAGAGGGGCTTCAGAAGAGTACAGCTTCCATTGGCAATGTCTTAAACAGTGTTCATCTTGCTGTGGAGGCAATATGGAAAGCTGGATGTATGGCAGACCGATACAGAGAGCGGTGTAAGTAACTAGATTACCCCATCACCTTCAGCCACACCTGAGTTTGACAATAAAATCCCAGGTGACAAGGTGGCTTTGGCCTGGGAGCTGTAAACAATGCTGGGTGGACAGTGCCAGCTCCAGGACTAGATTTGTTGGATTTTGGTTCTTTGTTCCTAGTCATTTTGTTGTACCCAGAAAAACCGAGACCCCAAAACCACCAAGAGACTAAATCCAATGCAAAAGCAAAGAGTCTTTTTGCTATTACGAGTTAACTTGAGGCTCTCCATCCGCCTGATGCTGCAGCAGAGCAGGAGAGACCCCGAGTAGCAATGGGGCAGGGTTTTTAAAGCAAGGAGGCTTGGGGGTCTATAGACTACATAGGAACAGACTCAGGATTGGTTTATGTGAGTGGCAATCATGTTAGTAACTTTTAATTGGCTAGGGTTAGTTGGAGGTTACAGTAACCATTTTGGGGCAGGCCTGGACAAGTCCCAGGTTCTGTCCTTGAGTTACCATGGAGGTTGGCTGACCTAGCATGTACTGACTGTGGGGGCTGCCTCAGTGGCCCAGGCTCTGTCTTAACTCATGCACATAGCTCTAAGTTGATGAGGGGTCCCAGACAGTAAACAATTGGCTGAACCTTGAGCGGTCAGAGTACGTGCAGAAAGGGAGCTACTGCAAGGACTATGTCTTTTGTTCTTGGCCTTCCCAGACACTGCTTGCTCAAGTCTCAGGAAACTGAAATTGAGGCCTGATCTCTGAGAGAAGACTGACAGCCTGTTATGGTGTCTGCTTGGTCCTTTCAATTGAATCCCAACCTGGGAACCACAGAAGTCTTGTTGGGATTTTTCTAAAATCTCTTTCAAAATTTATAAGCATAAAAAGTATTCAGTGGAGAACTTCATTTTCCCTTTGTATGTGCGTCAGTGGTTCTCAACCTTCCTAATGCTGCGACCCTTTAATACAGTTCCTCACATTGTGGGGACCCCCAACCATAGAAGTATTTTTGTTGCTATTTCATAACTGTAATTTTGCGACTGGTATGAATCATAATATAAATATCTGATATACAGGATATCTCACCTGTGAAAGAGTAGTTCGACCCCCAAAAGGGATTGTGACCTACAGGTTGAGAACCATTGTGCTAGACTGTTTCTCCACTCCACCTGCACAGAAAGAACTGGACAAGTGGCCATGACACAAACGTTTGGTCCAGTTTATCCTGACAGATATGGACGCTGTCTAGTAGCTTTAAGCCTTTAAAGGCTACTCTTTTTCTTTATAAAACATTCAATTTGGTGTTGTCTAATTTTCATTTTTTGTGGAAATATTAATATTTGGTGTTTTCCCATGAGAGTATCTACATTTCTCCTTTGT